CATTTGGAGGGCTCAGCACCCATGTGGGGCAGGGAGAGGCAGCATGAGACAGGGAGATGAGCTGTGCCATGGGGAGGATGTAACTGGTGGAGCTGGAGGAAGGAGGTAGGAGAGTATGTGGAGAGCATGTGACAGAGCAGATGTCAAACTTTGGCCCTTGTCAGTTTGGGGATGGGCTGTGTGAGGGTAGCAGGCAGCTGCCATGAGCTGTGCTGGGAGCAGTCGGGGCCAGGAGGAGGGTGGTGGCAGCTGAGGATGGGGCAGGGTCCCAGAAGGTCCCTGAGTTCCTGTCCTGCAGCCCTGAATTCCCAAAAGGTGAGCAGGGAACCACATTTTCCTCAGCTTCGGTTCTGTTGAACAAAGAGAATAGTTTGCTCTTTCACAAGAAAAACTTGAAAAATTATGGGAAATTACTTACAAAATTTATATAGCAATGGACCAAAGTCCAGCCCTAATTAGACTTTAGAAGGCACGTATTCACATTTAATCTGCAATGCCCAGATCCTTGCACAACCACAGTGTGATAAAGCTCTCCTGAGATACAGAGTAAGCCAGGCTGCTTGTTTGACTTTGATCCCCATCTCACTTTCTGCACAGATGGAGATATGGTATCCCCACATCACTTTCTGCAGTTGTGGAGATAGCTGCTTCTGGGCAGAATGGAGGAAGCTCCTTTCTGTGGCTACAACCCTTTGATTGCATAAAGTTGTGGTGTGAAATGCTGTAAATAAGAGTTTCAGCAAAGTGCCCTTCACTTCTGGGTGTGGGTTCCAGTTACTTTCTGGCTTTGCCCTGCCTGGTGGGAATGACCATGATGTGAGCTTGTTTTTGAAAGACCTTGTTTTGCAACACTGAGTTTTACAAGACTCTAGACTATCCCTGTCTCAGATAAGCAGGTTGGGGTCCAAGTGCTTTTGGGGGTGAGGGCACACTGGTTGCTCTGCCTTGCTCCAATCTGGCTTTCTCATAGCAGGGTAAAGCAAAAAAACTGAAGTGTGTGCATCTGCACTCAAGGAAGGAACTGTGTTTACAGAACCATTTGAAGTGGGACTTTCCCCTTTGGGAAGCTTTTGTGAGCAGAGGAACAGAGCCACGGGGCTGAGCTTTCAATCCTTGTGCTGGAGGAGGGGTTGGCATCACTGCTCGGGGCTCTTCTGCCTCCTGAGCTCTATCAGCCCTATCAGCCCTATCTATCTGCCCTATCAGCCTTCATTCACCCTGTCACCTCCACCTTCCTCATCCCTGTGCCATCTCCCCTGTCCTCAGCTCCTTCTGCCATGCCTGATCCACCCACAGAGTCCCATTCTCATCCACACTCATCCCTTCATCCAATCCCTTCACCCAGCCCATCACTGGCATCTCTTGGCCATGAATTCAGGCTTAATCCACCCTCACGTCCTGAGGGATCCCATCCCTGACCCAGCTCCCGTCCTTTCTGCATCCATCCCAGACCCCATCCTCTTCCCAGACATGGTGTGTGGGTGGAGGTGGGTGCTGCTGACCCAGCTCCCATCCTTTCTGCATCCATCCCAGACCCCATCCTCTTCCACAGGCATGGTGCTGTGGGTGGAGGTGGGTGCCTGGACGTACCACTACAGTGACGGGGACTACACGTGGGAGCAGGCCAGGAATTACTGCCAGACCTTCTTCACCGACCTGGTGGCCATCCAGAACCAGCAGGAGATCCAGTACCTCAACAGGAGCCTGCCCTACCACAGGCACTACTACTGGATCGGCATCCGCAAGCTGGACGGGGTCTGGACCTGGGTGGGCACGAGGAAGGCGCTGACCCAGGAGGCAGAGAACTGGGCCCAGGGGGAGCCCAACAACCGCCGCTCCAACCAGGACTGCGTGGAGATCTACATCCAGCGGGCACAGCAGGCTGGCAAGTGGAACGACGAGCCCTGCAGCCGCAGGAAGAAGGCGCTGTGTTACAAGGGTGAGCGGGGACACCAGAGCTGGCTGGGTGGGCCGGGGAGCTCGGCAGGGTGGCCAGCAGATCCTGATGGCCATGGCCTGTGTGTGCAGCCTCCTGCCAGCCCTTCCCGTGCAGCCAGCGTGGAGAGTGCGTGGAGACCATCGGGAGCTACCGCTGCGAGTGCTACCCCGGCTTCCAGGGCCCCGAGTGTGCTGATGGTGAGACAGCCATCCCATCCCATCCCATCCCATCCCATCCCATCCCATCCCATCCCATCCCATCCCTCCCTGCTGCAGAGCCCAAATCCTGGCATCAAGGCAGGGTTCTGGTGCTCCTGACGGGCTGTGGCACTGTGTCTCTCCCAGTTGTGCAGTGTGCCAAGCTGGAGCCCCAGGGAGTGCCCATGAACTGCAGCCATCCCTACGGAGATTTCAGCTACAACTCCACCTGCGAGTTCAGCTGCCACGAGGGGTTTGAGCGGCGAGGGGCGGGCGTGCTGCGGTGCCTGCCTTCCCAGGAGTGGTCAGCAAACCTCCCCACCTGCACAGGTAGGGCCTGCCAGGGACTGGGGGTCCAAGGGATGCAGCCCTGATGCTTTGGGGGGACCAGCCCTGTGTGCCCAATGCTGTTCAGACAAGTGCCCTTACCTATTGTGAAAGCATCTCCCGGTGCTGCACGTGGAGAGGGATTCCCTGGGGAGGCTGCACTGGGCAGAGCAGCTGTGAGTTGGGAGTTCCTGTTCTGCCTGGCTGTCCCAGTGCCCTGAATCCCACTCAGATATCAGCACCAAGTGTGGGGTCAGGATGGTGTCCTGGCTCCTCTGTCAGCCCTGTGGCACTGCCTCTCTCCCCTAGCTCACCCTGATCTGCCTTGGGAAGGTGTTTGGCATCTTGGGAAAGGGGAAAGAGAAAAGAGGGGCTGCTGTTCCTCAGCCAGGGGATGGGTGTATCCTGGCAGGGGTGGCCACCTTGAACAGGTATAAGGACTCATGAAATGAGTTTACATATAAGGTGGGAGGGACAGAGTGTGGCAGGAAACCATACAGGAGAGAAAGCTGCGGTATGTTATGCTGCAGGGGCAGAGAAAGTCTTCCTGTCAGTGGCTTGAGGGTTTGCAGCCAGGCACCAGCCATCCCAGAGAACTGCTGGGTTTTTTTCTTGCTCCACCTTTCCTGTGCTGCTGTGTGGTACCCCTGCAGCCTTGCACAAGGACTGGAGCAGACAGGGAACACAACTGGGGACCCTCTGTACTGAGAAGCATCTTGGTATATATATATATTCTTTTTAAAAGAAGCCTGCCTTGAATTTAGCGCTGCTGCTGCTGCTGCCTGTGCAGGATGAACCTGTGATCCAACCCAGGACCTTAGGTAGCTGAGAGCAGCAAACAGTCTGCAGTTAAGGGGAACAGGCATGGAGATGAGATGTGACTGTTCTGTAACCAGTATCCCCAGCAGTGGCAAAGGCAGGAGCGGGCTCCTAATTTTGTGAAAATCCCCACAGTCAAGCTGGGCTGAGCCTGTGTGCTCCAGGCTTTTTAGGTTCCCAGGGACTAGCTTTCCCAGCTTGTTTTTTCCTGCTGGCTGCAATATGATTGATTTTTGTTTTATTACAAACAATCAGATGAGTCAGTAGGTCTCCCGTGCTGATAACAAAATGATGTTAGCAAGCTTTGCCAGCTGGGCTCACTCCAGAAACGAGCAGAGCAAGGCTGTGAGCAAGGCTGGGGGTGCTGCAAGGACTGTGAGGGACAAGGTAAGGCTGCCTGCCCTGCCCCAGACTGTGCCCCATGCCTGCCTGCAGCCCCTGTGTGCCCATTGCTGGCTGGCCCCAAAGGGCTGGGCCAGCTGCTCCCACCTGCACAGCATGCTCACCTACAGGCACCTCTGGGACTCTGGAAAAGCAGAATTGCCTGTAAAATAGCTATAAAAGGAAAAGTCTGGCCAGGAAAGTGCTTGGTGTCAGTCTGGAAGCAGAAGATGCAGCGAATGCAGTCTGTCTCAGCTGGGCTGGGTGGTGTCAATGCCCTGCTGGCACTGACCTCTCGTGGTCCCACAGGCAGCAGAGCCACTCGCCCTAGAAAACCTTGCCCTGGCATGCAGCAAAACACACCCTGGGCACAGGCTGGGCAGGCTGGTACATAACCTCTTTAGCCAGTGCAGTGCTTTATGGTCCCAGAGCCTTCCTCCTACCACTGTGACCAGGACAGAGGCTGCTCTCTGCTCCAGGAAAGGGAGGGAGATGAAGGGGACTGCAGCAGCTGTGATCCTTCCTTCCTCCCAAGGACTTTGACCCAGGGTAGTGAAAGGGATAAACAGGGCTGTGGCAGAGCAGCAGCTGTGTCCCCCCCAAGGAAATCACTTGTAGGGCAGAAAAATCATTGTACCACCAACAGTTTTGAAGAGGTGAGTCTGGATAAGATTTGATTTTGGTTCAGCCTGAATCATTAGATTTAACCTCATCTATCCCATCTCTGAGATCTGCTCTCCCATTGCAGCCATCACCTGCCCA